CCCCCGAAATGCACATTATTGTTATTTTCTCTTTATAGAGCTGAACTAGATGAAAATAGTCGAGAAGTACGAGGTTCATTATATTGTCTTCCATGCCACAATAAACTTGACATACCTGTATGTGCTGCTTGCCGACGTTTAATCGATAATCGAGTTATTAGTGCTCTTGGCAAACAATGGCATGTTGAGGTATGTTCTATTTTAATTTATACTTGACCATGAATCCTATTTTTCTCACTTGTTTTCTAGCATTTTTGTTGTGCTCGCTGTGCTCAACCATTCTATGGTAGTAAACATTTTGAAAACAAAGGTCTAGCTTATTGCGAATCCGATTATCATTTTCTATTTGGTTCAACATGTTTTATATGTAATTGTGTTATTACTGAAGGAGGTATAAAGTTGATCTAAATAGGGTAAACAACGTTCTCATTTTGCTCTTCTATGTTTTGTTTTAGCTTATACAGCCTGTAATAAAAAATATTGCGCTGATCATTTTGCGTGTTCAATATGCGAGAAGAAAATGAATGAAAAAAGTAAATTTTTCGATGTTGACGCAGCACCTGTTTGTAAGCCATGCTATGGTAAATTACCATCAAACACTCGAAAATCAATTCAGCAATCGAAAAAGAAACAATTATCATCTATATTAAAACAAACAAGTGTTTAATGTAAAATAAAAACAATATTTGTAATATTAAAGTTTTGTATTAACAAGATATAGATGACCGTAGACAAGCAAATACATGGACATGTCAATTTCATCACAAAATAAACCAAGATTTATTGAAAATGTTGTTAAAGACCATTCGCTTTCGATTTCATTGTGTCGTCCAAGTAAATAGAGGCGTGAACGTCGACGTAATAGTGAAAAGCATTTGTTTAGTTTAACTGTATATATGCGATAATGTTGAAATCTTTTTGAATGTATTGGTTTTGTTTTTATTATTAATTGTTTTACATGTCGACATAAATAAAGTATAAAATCACTATCATCTAATAAATTCCATTCATTGGCATTGTCAATATCAATTATAAGAATATCAATACGTGTTCCTACAGAATCAAGATTTACGTATTCAACTAATTTTCTTATTGTCATTAAATTTGAATTATCATCAACAGCAGCCGATGCTGTTAAACCGACTCGATAGAAAGTCCAATTCTGTTTAATAGGAATCATTATATTCGTTGTATTTGTTTGAGTTGGCTGTTGATAAGGATCAAATGTGAGTAATTGACATCCACCCCAATCATACAATTGATTATCAAATGTATTATTAAGACGATGATTGCCCATTCCAAAAGACATGATTAAACACGAATTGCGTACGAATGGATCGAGACAAAATGAATGGTCACTATTTTCAAATTGTTTTACGTCATTACATTTGTATGGTTCAAGATCTTGCGGTCGAATAAATTTACTTTGTGCTTGGCACCATTTTCGACTTGCTTCAGTTCGTTGTTCATCGTTATGTGTGAACTGAATTCGAGAATAGACAAATGGATCGAGATAATTTGGGGGTGTCACTAATGTAGGTCGAGTTAGATTTAATTTAGTGATGATTTGATTTTGTAAAATTAGTGCCGATAAAGAATCATATTGATTTTTTGAAGCAAGAAATGATAATGAACGTTGTTGATAAGAAGAATTTTTTATTACGATTATTAATGAAATGAATATAGTTAGAAATCCAATTAATTTTATTAGAAAATAGTGTTTCCATTGCAGATATCGAATGAGCGATTGAATAAAATTATCTGATAATAATCTCACAGTCGACATAACAATGACGATGTACAACAATAATAACAAAACCATGTATTTCCTATTGATATGTTTGTATAAATAATAGAAGGCCAGATGTTCGTACTACGTATTGGATGATTATGATAAAGAGCAAGAAAATTACTCGTTTTTTTTCTTCTTTCTCTGCATATTATTTAGCATTTATATATTTTTTAAAGCTCATGCTCAATTGCCGTGACATATTTTTATTATTGGATCCATTAGGAAAAAAATGGATACTGAAACATTTGAAATAGGAGGAAGCATGGTGATAAAATGAATGCTAAATAGAACTTTCATTTAATGAGTATATGTTTACTTGTCGAACTCAATGCATTATCAATAGTATCTTTTTTTTTTCTTTTCTTTGAAAAACATTTTGACTAGAGAACTGTTCTCTGTATTTAAAAATATAAACGCTATTCATGAAATTAGATGTAGTTTTCTTTTTGTATGGTGTTTTTCTTTTTGTTTAACATTGGTAATATAGCATTTCAGTGCTCGAAAATCATTTTTCTTTACCATCGTTACAACGTTTTGATGCTGCGTGTTTACACACAATTTGCTGTGGTTGTCGACCAAATGGTATTAATATAATCGTATGAATACATAGTGAAAAGAAACAAAATTGACAACTTTCTCGTGCACATTTTCAATCTATCGGTTCACAAAAATCTAAAGTAGGATATGTCCATAAATGGCAATAATACTGTGCAAGATCCGTTGAAAAAAGTAACAGCGAAATTAGTTATCTGTGTTCTTTAAATAATAAATTTTCTGTTTTAGCGACGCGTCATTCTTCCACGAGGTCCAGCCGTTGAAGAACGCTTTGTCGTAGTTAGTCATGATTGGTTTGTACCAGTACCATTGTTACGACGGCTACATTTAGCTGGCACTGAAAATGAACTTGAAAGTATCGTCTTTCCCTATGATGAATCTTTTGATTCACATTGGCAATTCTATCTTGAACATCAATCGCATCCACCGCGCATACGAATAGGTCTTGTTCTATTAGCGCCACGTGATCGATGTCTTCGTGCTGATGTTAAATTAATATTAATCACAACACATGGTGGACAAGTAATAAAAGAATCAACCTTCTACGATCACACATTCTTTTTAGCTAAAGGCGAACCAACATCATCGTTTATAAATGATCATATTTCATCCAAACTTTGTTTTGATATCGAAGGCGATCTCTATCAAGATGTGATTGCAAAAAGTAAACAAGGAACACCAATGAATACAGATGATTGTACTATTCTTGCTTATGTTCGATTTATAAATGAAATTGAAATTCAACCAAAAACAAAAGCATTTGATTTTTCACGACGTTATACTGCTGATTGGAAATTAACAAAATTTCATCAGATTATCGAGCAAATTAATCAAACAAGACCACCAAGTAATTGTTGTTAACATTATAGAACAAAAATTTTTAAAAAAGTCGATTTCTCTAATTGTCCTTTCTTTTAGTCGGTAATGATCGACGTTTAGTATCGGATCGGTTTCAATTTACTCATGTGAAAATAATCGAAGGCGTAAAAAGTAAAAAATGGCGTCTATTAATCAAATGTCCAGGCACATCGCCAAACAATAAACAAAGTCCATTGTATTTAACAATCAAATGTTCGGATTTTATTCATGCAAATTATGGTAAGGTTGAAATGATATGCAAAAATGAACATAATGTTCTTCGGCGTTATACACAATCATTTGAAGATCTTGCTGATAATTATACCATGGAATTTTTTAGTCTTGAAGAATTAACTACAAATATTTATTCTTATCGACATGATTTCAATGAAACAAGTGGTCGATTTTTTACAATAGAATATCTTCTATTTTCAATTCAAATTGTACAACCATTACAACGTATCAATGTTCCTAAAAGTATAAAACGTGTTGTCGAGCCAACAATGATTTCCTTGAATAGTAATGGAAATATTCAAAGTAAAGGAACTGGACATGCGATAAAATCCACTCGAGAACAGACGCTTTCATCTGCTATGAAAACCGAACCTAAACGAATATCATCTGTTGTTAAAATGAATGATAAAGTTAAAAGTCCCGATCAACATGGTGTTACTCGAGAAAATACCACAGCAACTACCGCTGAAAATCCAGCCACATCATGGGATCCGTTTTCCGATGAACCAAGAGTAATAAACTATTTTATCAGAAGAAAACAAATTTCATTAGAAAACTATCTTTTAATCTAACATAGGGAAATTCAATGTTTCCACCGATTGTATCTCGTAATCAACAAGCGTATGCTTCACCTGATCGAATGAACAATTCTCCGATTCGTCATCAACCATCAGCTGAATTGAGAATCCTTCCAAACATTCAAGACAGTCTACTTCGTTCACCACGTATATTTCAAAATAAACAAATTCGTTTTGCACCACCATCACGACTTCGATCATTCGATCGATTCAATCAAAATTCAACTCAACCGCCTACTCTATCAAGTTCTAGTACAACAACGACAGTGTCTGAATTACCCGATAATTTTATATTCCTTAAAAATTTATATCGTTCTGGCCTTCATTCAGATGTTACTATTCGTTGCCGAGATCAACAATGGAATCTGCATAAAAGTATTTTGTCAGCACGTTCGATTTATTTCAATCAATATTTTGCTTCATCCAATGAATCTGAATTAGATTTATCGAGTGACGATGAAACACCGCCACCAAATATTCTTGAAAAACTGTTTGCCTATGTCTATACAAATCAATATATGTCATTGAGTTCATCAAGTCAAACACCATCACCGGCTGCAGAAAAAAAGCGTCGCCGATCATCATCAACAACAATAACAGCAGGATCAGCAACAGCTAATCCATCATTTGATACGATTCGTCTTCTATTCTTCGGCGCTGTTAAATACGGTATTGATGTACTTTGTCTTCTTTGTTTACATGATATGTGTAATACACAAAATTTAAATATAAATACAGCTGCTGTATTATTAGTTTGTATTCATCAAGCTCTTACTGGCTTATATGAAAAGTATCATACAAATGATTATTTATTACAAGTAAAAAATCTCAAACAAGTTGTGCTTCGCTTCATTCAATTCCATTCACGAGAAGTTCTTCTGTCGCCACAATGGAAACTTCTCGAAAAACGTTATCCTTCTCTTGTTCACGACGTACTCGAGTTCGTTGTTTTTGAAAAAATAGATGAATAAAAATAGTCTTTTTTTTCTTTTTCTACAATAATAAAAGAAACCAGGTAAACGTATTTAAAAGTTCTGCATCGTACAACAAAATACTGCAAGACTTTCTATTTCCACATAGCATCAGTATATGCATTTTTTAATTTAAGACTAAGGTCACGGGATCGGTATTCTCTGATTATTTTCAGATTATAGTGCGTATAAATCTTGATTGTTGACAAGAATTATTTTGCATTTTATGCTACCATTATGAAAGCACTTTAAGTAAATGAACAATATATTTGCATTAAAAAACGAAAAAAAAAAGAAAATTAAAAATAATATTTGCTCACCACTTTGTTTAATCGGTGTATATATATATTCGAAAAAATTTCATTTAAATCAGATTTTTGTCGCATTCAACTGTTTTTTTCCTTCTTAATCGAACTTTGAGTAGCCATGGGCGTTGCGAAACTCATTTTTTATCTAATATTGTCTTGCGCTACGATACATGCTCAATGGATAATAGACAAAATTCCTCATGGCATTATTAAGCCAACTGATGATTATTGGGTTATTAAAAGTATGTTATTTTCTCTACTATATTTTAATTCAATATTGAAGTCTACTTTTCTTTTTATTCCATGTTTAAAAAGCTAACGGAGCAGTTACTCAACCAAATTTTCCTGCCTATATTCGGTTTTATAATACGCGTGCAACAAATGCTGAATATGAAATTGACTGCTCGACTTCAGTTAAAGTGCTCTATTATCGTCAAGATATTATTTTTCGCACAACAGATCATACTTGGATTAACCAAGATTCCTATTATATTACAGTCGATGAAGGCGTACTTTATTCGAATAATATTGCAAATTCATCAGCATATTTAGATCCCACTTTTTGGACATTTGACATTAAAATTCCATTTCATAGTGAATAAACTATTCTATGATTTTGTTTTCTTCGAACATATATCTTTTTTCAATAAAGTTTTGACTATTTTTTACAGGCGCGTTTCTTCACTTTACCATGATAGATAGTGATAGTGTGATGATTATCAGCGATGATGAACAAGATATAAATGAATCTCGTTTGTACATTGATGAGAATGTGTTTGATTCTGTAAATTGTTCTGGTCAACAATCATCGAAATCAATAAATACAGGCAATCCTTTTGAACTTGATTTCATTTTATTAACTAATCTCAATCGTTATCAAACGCGATCTTGTCAAACTATTCTTACATCGAATACAAGTCTTCTTCTGAAACGAAATCGATCAACATTTTGTCAAGCAGAATACTTTGCGACAACTACAAAAGCAACAAATACTGAGCATTTTAATGACGAAGAAGAGCGAATTTTAGTCGCAAAGAAAATCAAAATAGAAAAACTCGAGTTTTAATTATCTCTATCAAATTAAAAGTTTATAAATTCTTATTTTGTACGCTTTTTTTTATTCCTCCAATATGTAACCTATTCTATCGTAGTTTGATTTCTTCACATGTAAGTTATCACTCAGAAGTTTATTTCTATATGGGCATAATTAAAGAATTGCCATACCCACATCTTGAAAAGATATAAATTATCGGTGTTTCAATGAAATATACGTAAGCATCGTGGCGCTTGAATTTTTGCTGAATTTAAACTGCTTTGAGTTCTGACAATCATCATGATTACTATATTTACTTCAAATATAATTTTGCCACTTTAGAAAAATAAAATAGACAGAATGAAACAAAAAAAAAGTAGAAAAAGAATAATTCCTTTGTTTTGGTCAGGTTGTAATTTTGCGTAAGTCTACACGATTTAAACCATTTGCCTGTAGAGAAGAAAGAAAACTTATGCAACGAATAAGAAAAGCAGCAGAGCTCGTTAGCGCAGCTCTTTTGAGGCCGGAGTATAGAACTGTCGCACCAAAATCGCATTGATTATAAACGTGTCGTCCACGCGCTTCCAATCTACAATAACATTGTCACTTATAAAACGACAATCATACCGTAAGTATTCATGCGTATCAATCGATTGCGACAGCTTCGATAACACTAACCATACTTATTCTGATCAGAGAGATGTGTACTACATCTGAAAAGCTAGTTGCGAATGGCAGAAGCGATAACTTAAGCTATAAAACAACGACGGTGATGGTCACTGTACCAAAAGTCTGTTCGTCGGTCGGACGAACCACTCCGCGCTTCTATTCTGTTCGGTTTTTACTAATATCTGGTATGTGGCGCTATCTATAGTCGAAGCCGGCCGATAGGTATAGGTTTTATTTCACGTAACCAGCATTTATTGGTGATTATAAATTTTACCAAAATAACACTATTTATTTTTCATTATTAGCTGTTAATCAGACTTGACACTAATTTATAAATAATTAATATAGTATTTTTACAGTAACTATTGAGCCTTCAGCGCCTATGCATAATTTAATAGATGTATTTTTTCTTGAAAATAGGGATTTATTTTTCTAGTATCATCATCTACTCGAATCATCATGCTGTCATATAGAATCTAGTAAAATTGAACACAAAAACTATTTACTCTCTTCAGTGAATATCAGTAAACATATACCTCTGTACGTATGGGGAACGATCAGCTATCTTAATATGATCCCTGTGTTTCAACTTCAAAGTCAGAGTTGAGGTCCTCGGTGATTCTAGAAATTTTTTCTGAGAATGTACTCATTGATGAAGAATGAGTCATTAATTTTTCCTGTTTATAATTTTTTTTCCAGATCACTTAGCGTCATGAAACGCCAACAGTAGATTCATTATTCAGTTCAACTCATTTCTTTTTCTTCATTCCACTTTTCCTACGGAAAAACATCATACATTTTTATTTCTCCTGCTTTTTTTAATCAAATTTTCTAGTAAGTATTTACATTTGTTAAAATAACTGAATTTCAATATTTATGCCATCCATAGGTCATGGATGGCGCTGGTGGTAATCCAACGGATGGAGCTGGTGGTTTTGATCCATGTGAATGCATAGTAAGATAATTCTCACAATAAATTACTTTTTATGTTTCACACATTGAAATACGCTGCAGATGAGTCACGAGCACACTATGAACCGTTTGACTAGTATGCTTCGCAATGCGCAAACAACATGTACTGATACGGAATGCTTTACTGGTCCATGTAGGAATACGAGAATCTAGTTTTTCCTTGTGCTAGAAAAATTTTATTGATCAATTTTTAGTACCTGGCCAACCCAATGCCGATGTTGGTAGTACAGGGATGACTAATATGTATTTAATGATTGGTATATGGCTTGCTATTGCTTTTTTACTGTTCATATTTCGTCCACGTACTCTTCGAAGCAATCGTGATAATCTAGGGAAACCAAATAATCAAGTAAGCAAAAATATATAATGGTTTTATAGAAATCTACTACTCTCCATTCTAGGGTCCACGACGTGACAATCGAGAGCCACCACCACCACCAGAAGTAGATTAAACAACTGCAACTAAATAAACACATTTCGGAGGATTTTATTTTCTCGCGAACGATCGAATACAATTTATTTTATTTTATACTTAATGCCTTTATCCCAGTTATGTCTTTGTTTAAGTTCACTTTATGACTTTTATCGATTTGTTTATTCTCAACCTTCATTGTCATTTTTCAAAGTTATGTATCATTTACTTCTTAATTGTGTTTTTCTGCATATTATAATCTATGTACATGTATTGTCTAATCAAGCATTATAGACGAAATTCTCCAAAGATAAAAAAGTTTTATATACGTATCATACACACACATATGTATTTATCTTTTTTTTTCCTTTATTTATATTATTATTTTATTTTTGTTCTTCTCAAAAAAGGAAACAATGCCTCGCATAAGACGATTTACTAAACATCATTTTTTTTGTTTTGACTAAATAAATCATCAACTTTATTTATATTTATCTATGACGAATGAGAATAATCAATTGCTAGTCAAGCATTGACATTCGTATGTGAGAAAGATACAGAATGGTGCTGTTGATTTTGCGTAATCACTAGACCCATTATCGAGCTTTCCCGCAACGATGCAGATGCTTATATATGTATGAATTTCCTTATTTAGAAATATATGCATGCTGTTTTTCTGTCCTTGTGTTGGCAGCTTTCCTTTACAGCAGATGTATGGAAGAATGAATTACTCGTAGGTTTTCTTCTTCTTCTTCTTCTTTTCTCTTGATTAATATCGTCGTCGAGCACAAGAACGCACAGTCGTCGTCGTCTTTTTTTTTATATTCCGTATCATTCTTTCTTCTATGTACTATTTTGTTGTTTTCTCGTTGGGATAACTAGAAAAGGCAGAGGAAACAAGACGCCTATTTCCGCATCTTTTTCTCTCTTGCCCATACTGAGTCGATATCACGAGTTTTCTACGTCATTGTCGTAAGCAGAAAAATTTAAGGGCAACGAGTGACAGGCAATCGCCAAGTGTCTTCGTCTTTCTAGTAGAAAACTACATAGGTTATTCGGTCGATTTACGTATTCATTCTTAATACTTGACACCATTCGAAATAAACTGGTGTCGACCCAACAAAATCAAGACAACATTACTTATACGTACCTGTATCAATAAGAATTTAGGTAAGTCTCGATTTCTGACTAATTCAAATAAAGCGAACTCAACGTTTAATAATCCGTTATCATATATTCATGACCTTGACTTGTTCTAAGGAAGAGAAAGTATATAGAACCATTAATATTAGGATTACTAAGATGACAATATATTATATCAGGATATGGGGGGGGGGGGGGGGGGGGNCCCCCCCCCCCCCCCATGTTTTTCATTTTTCCAAAGTAAACATTTTGTTTTGGATAAATTTCTTTCTTTTGTTTTATTCGATAGTTCAAGATTCATAATTTGCTTAGATGTAGTACAAATTATCCGTGTCGTTCTTTCTTTTTGTTCTGTGTGCCATAGAACATGCAAAGAAAAAAGAGTGAGTTCCAATGAATAGAAAAGATGAAAAAATCAAAACAAATCGATCTCACACGTGTTCGTTTCAAATCTCATCACCTACACAAAGTGCTTGCTTGCATGTACGAGTGCATTGGCTCAGACAAATAAAAATTCTCTTTTAATAGATTTGTTGGTTTTAGTTTGAATAAAAATAACAACAATGAGCGGAAGAAATGGTGAGTATGATAGATTAAACAAATTATCTATATTTTGTTTTTGCTTTTTTTCTATAAAATTTAGTTCGAGGTATGCACCAAAAGAAATCTATCGTAAGTCAATATTGAATTGCAAATTTTAGGAGGCCCAGGTGCTGCTGGTGGTTCAAAAGCAGCTTTTGCTATGTTTCAACAAAAAGATATCGCTGCTGGTGGAACAGGAAAAGCTAGCAGGTATTCAAAGAACGAAAGCGAAAAAAAAGAAACCGAATCGTTTCATAATAAATATTTAGTGAACAAGGTTCGGCTGCACCAACAAATCCAACAAGTATTAAAGAACGTCTTCTTGTATGGTGTCAGCAAAGTACTAGAGGTTACCAAGTAAGTTTCATTTTATGTATCGAGTCTTTAATTATTAGTTCTATTTTTTTAAAAGCATGTTAATATAACAAATTTTTCATCATCATGGGCCGATGGTATGGCTTTTTGTGCTCTCGTACATCATTATTTACCGAATTCAATCGATTATGATTCTCTTAATCCAAAAGACAGAAGGAAAAATTTTGAAATAGCTTTTAAAGCTGCCGAGTAAGTTTTATTGAAATAAATTTTTTTTTATGAAAAACAAAATATTTCTCTATGATAGAGACAATGGGTGTGCACCGTTACTTGAAGTCAACGATATGATTGAAATGGGTGATAAGCCTGATTGGAAATGTGTGTTTACATATATTCAATCGCTTTATAAACATTTTGTTATGATGCCTCAAGCCATTGCAGCTAGAGCGACAGCACAGGCTGCTACTCACTAAACTCCAAAGCGCTAAACTAAACAATAAAATAAAAATATTGCTTTTTCTAAATTTTTGTATGATATGCATTCGTTTTTCTTTTGCTAATCAGCTAGTCATCCTATCTAACTACTAGTAAAATAAAAGACATAATTAGATATAATGTGTGTTTAACGTCAAGGTCAACAGTTGTGAAAAAAAATCTCCAATTTCAAGTGTGACAAATAATAAACAGATACCTAATGTGTGAAACGTATGATTTTTATTGAGTGAAACTGAAAAATAAAAATCTAACAAAACAACCTTATTTAACCTTCAGGTTCTTCTCGTTGTTAATTGAACGGCATATCACAATTAAACGACAACTTTCGTGACATATAAGTTTTTCTATGTTGCGTTACCGTAGTTTTCAAAAAGATATTTCTTCTCTCCACAGAATAACTTAGTAGACATTTAAAAACAGTATTAATAAAATTCTGAATTTCATTAGATTTCAACATGGTCTTATTCGGAATAATAATCAGTGGCGTGGTTGTCGGTTAATTTGAAATAGAGAAAGAAGAAAACAAACTTTTAATTGCCGTAGTTTGTCAAACGAAAAACCATCAATAGTTGTTTAACATACAGTAGAATTATTGTAAGGAAAAAAACAAATAATAATTAATTTACTAACGGCAGCTGAAATATCTAAAAGAGAAAATTATTATTGATAGTACGATAATATATGCAAGCGATATGTTGGCATCATATGTGAAAAAGAAAATTTATTTTCTGTTTTTTGTTGCCGTTGTGATCACATCGATAATGGAATGAAATAAAACAGCCAACTATTTTTTTTCAGGTAATTTTGTTTGAAGATACCTGTCGAACGAAAGAACTATTCAACTCAAAAGAAAAACAATCGAAATAACTCTCTGATGAAATAGTCCTTGGTAACATCAGATAGGCATAAAATGAAGCTGATAATGTTCAACAGTTTACAATAATTGGATTAGAATTCAACTTTTCCTTGGTGTGGATTTGAGTATCTATCGAATGATGCAATAGTTGAATGCGTATCAGTAAATAGGATTCAAAACAAGACCTGCTTATATTTCTATACAAGAATATATTTAACCAGAATTTCACTTATTTATGATTCTTTTAATATTGATTGGTTGCTAATTAGTAACAGTCGATCATTATTTTAATAGCTCGAGTCGCCCTTAAAATGCATCATATTTCCGATGAGTAAATGTTTAAGTCAAATAAATATTCAAAGCAAATAATCGAATTTCGATACAGTTAATGAGATCTGTCTTATCGTTTATGCTTTCAATAGTATGTGAGTATATAAGATAAGAAGTAATAGAGCAATAAATGATCATATATATTTTTTATAAACTCCATTTGCGGTCTCTCATCAAGTAGAAATCAAGCAACTACATACGTAGTTTTTCTTCAAAACACCCCGAACATTGTCACGTCTATATCTAGTTTAGGTGAAAGAATAGGCCATAAAAAGGTGATAAATACGAATGTTAATCCTTGAATTCTTTATTAACTTCATCTATTGAAATGAATTAATTATCAAATTTGAAAGAATTTATTTTAGATTGCTTATCATCCATGGACGATCATAGTCTGTCACCAACAAGGAGAACTTATCATGCTGTTCAAAATATCCCTCAGAAAACAATGGATCCAAAGTTCATCGTCGTTCTTTTTTGTGTGGAAGCTGGTGCTCTAGTTTTTAATGCAATTCATGTGAAAGCTCCTGAAATTCATATTTATAATTCATATAATCAAAAGCCGATCATTTTTAATCAATCATCCGCACAAATTTATTCGTGTTTTCTAACAATAAATTATTGTGTTTATGAACATAAACAATTACGTTTTCTTAAAGTTATACACGTCATATTTATTTCGATTATCGTTACTTGTTATTGTGGTTTATTTACTATTATTCTTCGTAAAGGGGCAAATGTTAGAGTACAAAATGATTTAGGTATAACATGGTACGGTGCATTACAATTAGTCGTTCTGTTAACACTTGCGTTACATACACTTTTAATGGTTATTATCCATGAACGCGATTATGCGAATGTCAAAAACTGCAATGAAGACAGTCGTTTGATACGTGCGGAAAATCTTTTTACTTATGTTGTTCTTAGTATGCTAGAAATAGCGTATATTGGTTTTGATATATTAAATCGACAAGTAACTATACATGCTTTACATCAAAATTTTGAACATCGAGCACGACAAGCTGAACATCAAATACCATCGAGCAGCTACAATCTTAGGAGAAAAACAAATTTGTCACCGGCAGAAAGTTTTGTAACTGTTGATGAAGAATTCATATCAGAGTTAATGTAATTTTCTTTTTAAACAGGTGATTATTTTTCAAGAAAGTATTAATAAATGAATCGATATTTATAAGAATATTTACAAAAACAAAAAAGTTGAAAAAAAGATCAATTTTCTTTGCAATGCTTTTAAACAGACCTAGTTTGGGTGCAAAAAGATACATTCTTGACTGTCGAAGGATTAGACGTACAACATTTCGAGGCAACCGATATTATAATGGTTAATCATCTGTTGAAAGATTTTCCTTTTCGGATTTGACTGTCACTAAAATTATTATTCATAGAGACATATGAATTCTAGGTAACATCTCCAGAAGCCTCGACTATAGAGCCCGTCGGGTCCGATTCCGGGTCTAAAGATTTCTCTTTGCCGGGTCCGAGTTCGGGTTCAGATTAAAAATATTTTAACGTATTGGGTCAGATAAAAATAAAATTTTTATGCATATCATTGAGTGAAAGCGAAGTCGATGTTGTTGATGAAGACGTTGTCTAACATAAGAAACAATATAAACACTTTAATACATTTGTTCCTTATTCCATTCGAAGCTGCAAACAAATAGCGAGTGGCTAGAACAAGGGGGGGGGGAGCTGATTTAAATCAGCTAAAAATCAAAATTAAATAAAAAAAATCACTTTAAATCAAATAAACCACCTTAACTCACAAAATCATAAATCACCTTTTTCCCCCTTGGGCTAGAAGTCAGAGTCCATTATAAATTAATTGTTGAAAACACTTTATCGGATAGTTGAAATAACGTGTAAGATGTACTACTTACATAACAAAAAAGGACAGAAGTATGCCGAATTTTCGGAACGACCACCAGAGATAATTAGAAAATTTGACTACAAGTTTAAGAGTACGTTTTGCTCCAGATCTATTTTGACTAATAAACTAGGTTTTTGTTACGAATGTCAGCTTAGCTTTACTTCAAATGGAAACAAGCATGATTAAAATTTACAGTCCAAAGATTTGAAGTCCGAACAAATGTTTTCATGAAAGGAATTTTTTTGTTCAAAATTATTGGTTTTTCATTAAAAAATAATTTTAACAAAAGAAAGATTTTCTAAAGAATATATTTTAAATTTTGGCTTTTTTAAGAAAGTTAAACTTGAAGATATGCTAGTTTTAGCTTTAAATTTAAAGATTAAAGTTGAGAAACGCTAAACTCCCTCCTATGAGAGAAACGCGCGCGGGGGGG